CATCACCATCCTGCCCCGAGGCTCCAAGGGGCCCCGGCTCAGGGCCAACGCCGGCCTGCAGGTAAGATGCCACGGGGATGGGCGGGCAGCCGCCCCGCGATGCTTAGCTCCAGGACACCGGGGGTGGGGGGGGGTGTCAGCCCCTCATGGGGACCTGACAGGACCCCCTACTCCAAGCCTGGTCACGCACCTCTGGCAAATGGAGCACAGCAGAGCCGGGACGCGGATCACAGGCGGGCGATGGGCTCCGGGGGACGGGGGCGGTTTCCCGGCCCGGGGAGGCGCTGCAGGAGGCGGAGACCGGCTCCGCCGGCCCCGCTCCTTCCGCCCGGTCGATGCTGCAAGCGGCCGCAAGATGGGAGCATCGCCCTGCAGCAGCTGCGTGCCACGGCGGCAGGCAGCGGCCCCCCGCCGCCTCTTCGCGGAGCAGCCTGCCCCAGGGCCCGCTCCATCAGCGCAGAGTGGGAATGCCCCATTGTGTAGGCACCTTTCACACCCCTCTTGATACCCATCTCGGTGAAGGCAGAAGCAAATAGGTCTCACTAGCTGCTAGAGTCCTCTCTTCTGCTTCAAGCACCTGCTGCCCCATTAAGGGTCACTAATTGCAAATTGCAGCAAAGAAATTAGTAGCAAACAGGAGTGCCACCCCCCCAGGCTATCCTCACCCAGCCCAAGTTTTCCCAAGCTGCCTGGAGAGAACGCTGCTCCTTCCATCACAATCACCATGGCCAGATCCTTGCAGTGACTTTGGGAAGGTGTCTGGGAGCCTGGGCTCTGGAAAAGATCATAGAAACATAGAATTGTTTAGGTTGGAAAAGATCCTTAAGATCATCAGGTCCAGCCATTGCCCAGCCCTGCCAAGGCCACCACTAACCCACGGCACTGAGGCCTCATCTCCACGCTGTGTGAGCACTTGCAGGGACGGTGACTGCAGCCCTGCCCTGGGCAGCCTGTTCCAATGCCTGAGCACCCTCTGGGCAGGAATTGTTCCTCAGCTCCATCTAAACCTGCCCTGGTGCAGCTTGAGGCCGGTTCCTCTTGTCCCTTGGGAGCAGAGCCCAGCCCCTCCTGGCTCCATCCTCCTGTCAGGCAGTTGTAGAGATGTTCCAAGGGAAGGGGACAGGCAAGGAGAGGGACTCAGGGCTGCCAGCAAAATTTGGGGTACCCCATCCACAGCCAGCCCCTGCTCTAGGCCTGCCTCAGTTACACTCCCCAGCCTAGGAAGCTCAGCCCCTTCCCAGCCAATCCCTTTTATAATGCAAGGAGTGCTCCAGGATCTGTCCCAGCTGTGCACAAATCCTGCACTCCCATAGAGACTGGTTAACCCATTAGCTGCTGAATCCATGGTGGCCCCATCCCTGCTCCAGAGGCCACAAAGCTCCTCTCTGCTGGCTCCCTTGCTCTGGCAGGTTGGAGGGAGGCGGCAGAGCGGCTCTGGCCCCTGTGCCATCCATTAGACACAGAGCTGGTACTGTGTGAGAGGAGGAGAAGAAGGAAGCTCCTTCCCTGCCTTATTTTTAGCCAGCCCATTATTAGCCCAGTGATTGCAAGGCACTCAGGGAAGCACGTCCTTCCCTCCCAGCCACCATGCTATAAAAAGGGTGAAGAGAAAGAAAAAGCTCCCAGAATAAACCCTGAGTTTGTTCCATGTGCCTTTCCATCGGGATCCCCCCCGGCCCTGGGAGGGGTAACCTCGGCAGCCCGCAGGAGGGGCTCTGGAGCTGGGAAAAGCTCCCTGCTCCCAGCGGGAGCAATGCTAAAGCAACCCAAGGCTCAGGAGGGGCCCGGCCCTGCTGTGTTTGTGCTGTGGCGAGAGATGACTTCAGCGTTTAAAGGTCAGGCCGGGTCCAGGAGAGAGGGATTGCACAAAGCTTCCCTCTGCTGCTTGTGCCGGCCAGCGCCGGGATGCAGAGTCCATGCAGGGATGAGGAGACAGCAGGCAGGGTTCAGACCCCAAAGCAGAGCCCTTTGGAAGGGACCAGGCAGCTTGGCCTCAAGCAGCTTCTTGGGTTGCATCAGGAGAAAGGGTGGCAGGATGCCACCAAGAGAGAGGCTTCCAGTGCTGCACCAGCGCACACGGGCACGCTCCGGGCGCTGCTCCGCTGCCTCTCCTGGAGAACAGAGGCGACACAGAGGCTGAGCAAACATAATGGGAGCAGGAACCACGCAGGAGGCTTTAATAATTCAAAGGGATTTGAGGTGGCTCAGCCCCGGTGGTGCGGGCTCTGAGCCACCGTGTCCCAGTGAGCAGTGATGCCCGGTGCTGCCAGTCCCCCCCGCCTACAATCGCCTCTCCAGGCTTTGACCACAGGGAGTTTTCCTTGGCACCGAGCCCCGGCTGTGGTAGCAATTCCAAAGGGCACTGAAGTGACCTGGCTGTGGAGAAGGAGCAGCCTGAAACTTGGGTGCACACACAGCACAGCAGCAGCTCCCACTGCCGCGTGTGTCCAGCAGTGCTTCCCCCGCCCCATCCCTCCCAAGCTGTGTTTTCCAGCCTGCCTCCCGCCATCCCATGGGGGCTTCCAAGGGATTTCATTTCACTGCCGGCACCCACACCCACTCAAGCAATGCTTTGGATTAGGCCAGCTGAAAGCAGCAGAGAAGAGCTCATCACAGCCAGCTGAGCAGCAGAGCCAGTGCTGGGGTGTTGTCCTGTGGGCTTGCGGGATGCGGGCCAGGGGCGCGATGCTGCGGGATGCAGCACATCCTGCCCCCCCGCCCTGCATGCGCTGCAGGAAGGCTCAGTCCATGCAGCCCATGTTTTCTGGGCATCCTGAGAGTGAAAGGCAGCTCTGGGGTGTGCTGAGGTACAGCAAAGGATTAGGAGCAGGGAAAACTGCCTCCAGCTGGAGATGGGAGATGCTGGGGCCTTGGGGTGGCAGCATCCCCAGGGCCTGGGAGAAGCGGCCCTGGGAAGCTTCACAGTGGCCCTGAGCTCGGCTGCATGCTTGTCATTCCTGCAGGGTTTGCTGGGGCGGCTGGTGGCCTCGCTGCAGCCTTGGGAGAGCACAGCGGGATGGGTGCTTTGCTGGGAGCATGAGCTGGGAAAAACATCCAGCCTGGGAGAGATAGGGCTGTGGTCATCATGCACCCAGGGAGCGAGTTCAGGGTTCAGTGACCCCGCTAAAAGCCCTTTCCCTGCAGAGCAATGGGGAGCAATGTGTCAAAGGCACAGGACCGTGCCTTCTTCCATTCCCAGTGCTTGGGAAAACTGAGGCACACAGGGGCGAGCCCTCCCCATTGCCCTCCTGCACACACTGTGCAGATGCATGGACCATGGTGGCAAACCTGGCAGCGGTGCAGGGTGACAGAGGCATCCCCCAGCACACAGACAAGGCATCCCTGTGGGCCGGGATGTGCTCAGGCACCCAGTGAAGCTCTCTGAGCTGGGACGGGGTCTGGAGCTGGCCGGGGAAGAGGGGAGAAGTGCTGGGAGCATCACAGGGGTTTACAGCCTCTCCCTATCCCCCAGCTGCGGGAAGGTGCCACAGCTGCCATCAGCCCCTATGTCCTGAGCGCCGAGGATGAGGACTCTCCACCGGAGGAGGTGATCTACTCCATCCAGCCCCCCGCCAATGGGAAGGTGGTGCTGAGGTCGGCGCCCGGTGCTGAGGTCCGGCGCTTCACCCAGGCCCAGATTAACAACGGCCTCATCCTCTTCACACACCAAGGTAGGACAGCGCTGAGGTGCCCTGGCCCCCTGCATCAGCCCGAGGGAGGTGGTGACAGCACTGGAGGGGAGCTGTGCCACCAAGGCGGATGCTAACCCCATCACTCAGCACACTGATCCAAGCCACGCCAGGTTAATGGGGGCTGCAGCCTTCTCTGCCCCCCAGAATACCCAGTGAATGCTTTCTGCAGGGCAACTGGATGGGGGATTCGCCTTCGACCTGTGGGATGGCGAGAACCTGTCTCCTGGGCACTTCTTCCTCATCAGGGCCCAGAGAGAGCCCCTCATCAGCCTGGCCAAGAAGCAGAGCCTCACCGTGTGCCCAGGTGGGTACAGGAGTGTTCCCCATCCTTCTGGTTGGATGGCGGACCCTTGCACCAGCCCCTGCCTGAGCACTGTGGGGAGATGCCCACAGCAGAGGCTGCAGGCAAGAGGCGAGGCCATGGGTTGAAATCCATCCTGGACATGTTTTCCAGGTGCCCTGCAGCCCATCACCAGCCAGAACCTGCAGGCAGTGAGCAACAGCCCCGCCAGCTCCACCGCTCTGTACTACAGCATCGAGCAAGCCCCGCGCCTGGGCAGGCTCAGCACTGCCCAGGGGGAGGAAATCAGGAACTTCACCCAAGCCCAGGTGAGCTTTCCCTGTCCCCAGCATCCCAAGGCACAGCCCTGCATCACCCCACGGGTGCCAGCCCGGCCCATTACCACCAAGGGCACCTGATCCCTGGAGGAGGCAGAGCTGGGCTGCAGCTGCATCACGGCTTTCCCAGCTCTACCAAGGGCTGCTAAGAGGGATTAAGAGCTGCCGCCCCAGCACTGGTTTTATCACGGCCACCAGCCTCGGATTTAGTGCTGGGAGAGGCTCAGGGAGTTATAATCCCCTTTCCTTAGCTCCCTCCCTGCTGCAGACTAGCCGTGCTGGCTGCTGCTGCAGGTGAGAGCAGAGTGCAATGCTTTCACCTCTGCTCTGAGCTTTGTCCCACAGGGACAGGCTTTACAGGGCATGGCAAAGGGCTCATTGCTAGACCATCACTCAGAAGCACGCAGGTTTGCCCACCCTGGTGCTGTGCTTGCCTGGCCCTTCTGCTGAGCCTCAGTTTCCCCCGCTGCTGGGCAGAAGCATCCTGGCAGGGAGGCACAGTGACTTCTGGATGGTGGCATCCATACCAGTGCTGGTGATGATCCCCATTTCTTACTTAACCCGTGCTTGGGTGCTCCTTCCTGGAGCCGAGATGATTGCCCAGGGTGCGCACATTGGCTCTGGCACAGCATCACCAGCTCCTCGATCCCCAGTGCCACAGTGCCCATCACACCAGCAATGAAACAAATGCACTGTTTTCCACATGGGTCTGTATTTTACCCTTCAGCAGAGCTCATGGGGTTTTCTTTGTTTCTAGGTGGACAGCAGGTTGATTTTCTACCAGCACGAGATGCCAGAGAAGCCCTTCTGGCTGGCTCAGGATGCCATCCGCTTCCGTGTGGTGGCTCCTACGACCATCTCCGATTCCTTCATCCTCCTCGTGCTGATCTCCTTCGAGGCAAAGTGTCCCCAGCGCTCAACCCAGCTATGGAGAAACAAAGGTAAAGAAGGAAAGGAGAAGTTAGGGACAAATGAGCTCTCCTGCAGCTGGGATTGTGCAAACTTTAGGACAGCTTGTTTGCATGTAGACGCTGCTGTGCCGTTTCCCATGGCAAAACAAGCATGAGCTTTGCATCAAGCAATATCTAAACCTGCATCCGTCCTTTCACTGGCTCTCTGAACAACTCCTTCCTGCATCATCTCTCCAAACTAAGTCCCAGTGATTCTCATGCCTCTCAATTTCTTTGCAATCCTCCTTTCTCTGCTCTAACTTGCTCTCCTTTAGCTCTGCTCTCTCCTCCAGCAGACCCTGGCTCTTCCCAGGCCTCACAGACCTTTGTGTTTTCCCTTTTCTCCCCAGGTCTCCAGCTCCCAAGGGCTCAGCGGGCTGAGATTGGCACCTCAGTCTTGGATGCCTCCAACCTCCTGAGCCAAATCCTGGTCCCGGAGAGAGCTGCACACGATGTGGTCTTCCTGGTGACGGGGCTACCAGCCCATGGGCAGCTCTTGGTGGCCGGTGTGCCCCTGGAGCGGGCTCAACCATTCTTCCTGCAGTCAGACCTGGCTGCAGGGCACCTGGCGTATGCCCATGGTGGGGACAGCATCTCTGAAGACCATTTCAGGTTCAAGGCTTGGCTCCGGCCCCGGGCGGAGCAGTCCCTCCGTCCTCCACAGGACAGGGTGGTCATCTCCGAAGCCTTCAATATAACAGTGACCACCAGCAGCATCAAGCCGCTGCAAGTGGTGAAGCAGCAAGAAGTGCTGAGGGTGCCCCCAGGCTCCGTGGTGACGCTGTCCCAGGAGTACCTGGATGTGGCGGAGCCATGGGGGTCCCCAGAGGACATGGTGTACAGCATCCTCCAGAGACCTCCTGCTGGCCACGTGGCCAACACACGCAACCCACAGGAGCCCATCGACCGCTTCACCCAAGCGGATGTCAACGCAGGCCACGTGGTGTTTGTGGCCAGCAGGAGCCATGCCCCAGGCTCCTTGGCCCTGAGCCTCTCCGATGGCCACCACCCGCCCACCCTGACCTCACTGGACATCGAGGTGCTGCCTGCGGGGAGCACCGCTCCCAGCCCTGTGCTGCTGGAGGTGCCCCAGGACCTGAACAGGGCCCCTGTGTCCCACCATCACCTCCTGGGCTCCGCAGGGCTGGGGGCAGGCAATGCCCTGTACAGGATCACCAGGGAGCCAAGGTTTGGCCAAGTGCAGGTCAACCAAAAGCCATCGCGGGGCTTCTCACAGAAGCAGTTGGACCGCGGGGAGGTGACGTTCACCTTCATCGACCTCAGCTCTCCCGAGGATGCCTTCCAGTTCCTCGCCATGTCCCGGGCAGCAAACAGGACCGGGGTGGTGAACGTGACCGTCCGTGCCTTGGTGAAGGCTCGGCCAGGCAGCCTGTGGCCCAGGGGCACCACAGCCCTGCTGGACACCGGTGTCTTGGATGCCAGCGAGCTGGCCAACCGCACCAAGAGCATCCCAGTGTTCAAGGTCCGCAGGGCACCCCATGCCAGCCGCCTGGTGAGGGTCTCCCGGGACCCAGGACAACCCAGCACCCCCATTGAGACCTTCAGCCAGAGCGAGCTGGAGCAAGGGCTGGTGGGGCTAGAGCTGCTGGATGCTGGGGAGACCGACCAGCCCCTGCAGAGCGACAGCTTCGTGTTTGAGCTGGTGGCTGCCGGCGTGCCACCCGCATTAGCATCCCTGGGGTACAGCACTGAGCCCTACAACGCCTCAAAAGCCTACGGTGTCACCCTGCTGACTGCCCCCATGGCACCCTCGCCCCCCATGGCACAGCCCCATGGCACAGCACAGAGCAGTCCCAATGCTAGTGAGCTGGGCATGGCCCCCACTGCCTGGCTGGGCCCTGGTGCCACCACCACCCCCAGCCCTGTGGAGGGGGGCACCTTCCTCAGCTTCATCGAGGCCAACATGTTCAGCATCATCATCCCCATCTGCCTCATCTTACTCCTGCTGGCCCTCATCCTGCCCCTGCTCTTCTACCTGCACAAGCGCAACAAGACAGGGAAGCACCACGTCCAGGGCACCCCATCCTCCAAGGCCAAGAACGGGGCCGTGCCGGACCAAGAGACCTTCCGGAGGACGGACCCCAACCAAGGCATCCCCCTAACGACTGTCAATGCCCTGGAGGGCAAGGGCACGGGTCCCTCACCCCAGGCCACGGGGGCACCCCCAGACCCCGAGCTCCTCCAGTACTGCCGGACTTCCAACCCCCCCCTGAAAAACAACCAGTACTGGGTGTGAAGGGCTCAGGAATGAGGCACGAGACCTCCTGCGGGTCCAGACCCTCCCAGATGCAACCACCACCTCCTCCCGGCTCTCCTCCTCCTCCTCCCTGGGAGCTGGCATCCCATGGGTGCAGGACGGCCCTGGGGATACAGGGGCTGCCCACCCGGGAGCCCCAAATCTGTGTGCGGCTTTGGGCAGGGGTGTGGGGCTCTGCATAAGCAAGGCAGGACAGGCAAAAGGCCTGAGCATCCCTGGGGAACGCTGACTTTGGGTGCTCACTGGGGCCACCCCACAGTGCTGGAGCACCGGTCCCCACCGAGCCACCCGGGCAGGTCCCAGTGGTGGCTCCTCCATGGGCAGCTCTTGGCATGAGAGGGAGGATGAGGAGCAGCTCAGGCTGAGTCAGGCTGGGGATGAAGCTGCCCAAATCCCCCAGGGCTAGGCGGGCTGACACTGGAATGGGGCTTGGAAAGAACTCTGTGGCCAATGCCAGGGGAATTTAGGAATCCCCACCCACTTGGAAAGAAAAAACCCTGCCTCGCTCTTCCTCTGCGTGCCTGCCCTATGCTTCATACAGCAGCTTGTACCCAGGCCGGGGAGGGGAAGGGGGTTTGCACAACAGGGAGGGATGGCAGGAGCTCACCTGGGCAGGGTGACACCGGAGAGGAGAGCAGGGAACCGGAGCCAGCACAGTTTTCCGCTGTCTCCTCCAGCACAAGAAGTAAACAGCATAGGCTGCCTTTGCCGAGGTGCATCATGCTTTTCGTAAGCTGTAACGTCCCTTGCCAGGCCTGTTCTAAGCCCAGCGAGCTGCCGAGAGACATTTGGAGGTAATGGACCAAGCTCTAGGCTCTTACTCAACTTTTCCCCAGCCTGGAGTCCTCAAAGCTTCAATAGGAATTGAGGGAGAGCAGAGGGAAAAACTGAGCGTTGAGCCCAGGATGGGACCCAACAATAACACCCTGCTCTGCTGCAGCTGGGAAGCTCATCACAGGGCACAGCCCGCGCTCACAACACGGACAGGAAGCTGAAGCAAGCCCCCGGGGACCACGGGGATGTTTTACACTTGCACCCTCTTATCCAGGGTAAAAACCCATCCCACACCAGCAGCCCCACTCCCAGGCTGTGGCAGAGACTGGATGCTCTCTTGGAGCACACCAGCAGCTTTCCTGGCTCTATTTATGGTGCCGGATGCTTAGTGAGAAGGCAACACATCCTCCTGGGCACCCAGAGGGTGCAGACAGGCAGCCCCATGTCCCCCAGCCCCATGGCACAGCACCTCCAAGCCCTCCTGGCCTGAGGCAGCCCATGCTGATGGGTGCCAAGCCCGAGCACTGCTGCCTCCTTCCCTGCTTCCCATCTCCTACCCCATCTGAAGGGGGAAACGGTGTTTCCTACTGCTCAGAGGCAAATCACATCCTCTCCCCTCTGTGAAATGGGGACAGTGCATGGCTGACCACAGCACAGCTGGAAGCTTGGGACCACCTCTGCAGAGCAGAGGGAAAGCCATTGCCTGCATCCTCTTTGGGATCACAGCTCTGTGCCTTCCCCATCACATCCACACAAGCACCTTCATTACCTTCGCTAAGTGTGTGCCCCGCAGCGAGGGATGGAGGTCTGCAGGCAGCTGGTGGCAGCCACCGAGGGCCCCCTTGGAAGCATCCGCCGGGTTTTCCTTCCCAATGATTTTCTCCTCGCACCCAGGGATTAAATAAAAGGAACGTGGCCTATTTTGTCAGGAGCATTGAAAGCAAAGCAGGTTATTTTTAAGGCTTGTGGTTGTATTTCCACTGCTGGGAAACATCCATTTCCTGAGGTCAGGGGAGGACAGGCAAGTAACCTGGAAAACCCCAGTGCAGATCCCAGCTCTCCAGGGTTTAAACCCAGAGCAAAGCTGGTGACTCCACTTGGGTTATCTGGGGTTTGGATGGGGTGGGAACGTCACCACACCCCCAGGGAAGGGGTGAGGGTCTGGGCTGACTCCTGCCTGCCCATGGAGCAGGCAAATCACAGCCCAAACAAGCTTCAGAGTTTCCTGGCCAGGCCCTTTGGCTTCTCCACACTGCAAAGCACCAAAGCTGCCTGCTCACAGAGGCACAGCCCATCCTCATCCTCCTCCTCACCCAAGTCTGGTCCAGAACCGCTCTGATCCAGGAGGTTTTGGGGGTGACAGGAGCTGGGCTGCACTCTTCCCTGCCAGGCTGGTTATGAAGCTTGCAGAGGTTTAGGGGGAAACACAGCCTGGTTTGGGTTGAAGGGACCTTAAAGCTCACCCAGTTCCAACCCCTGCCACGGGCAGGGACCCCTTCCACTAGAGCAGCTTGCTCCAAGCCCCTGTGTCCAACCTGGCCTTGAACACTGCCAGGGATGGGGCAGCCACAGCTTCTCTGGGCACCCTGTGCCAGCGCCTCAGCACCCTCACAGGGAAGAGCTTCTGCCTGAGAGCTCATCTCAGTCTCCCCTCTGGCAGGTTCAAGCCATTCCCCTTGGCCTGTCCCTACATCCCTTGTCCCAAGCCCCTCTCCAGGTTTCCTGCAGCCCCTTCAGGCACTGGAGCTGCTCTGAGGTCTCCCCTTCAGGAGCCTTCTCTTGTCCAGGCTGCCCCAGCCCAGCTCTCTCAGCCTGGCTCCAGAGCAGAGCTGCTCCAGCCTCGCAGCATCTCCATGGCCTTCTCCCCACCTCCTGCACCTCCAGCTTCTGGTGTTTCCCCAGGCTGGGCACACGGGGGTGTCCCACACCCCCATCCCTCCTCTGCCTTTCCCCCATTGCTGTGCCCTGCCTGGGAGTGCAGAGAAACGCAGGGTTGGGGTGGAATGGGGACATCAGGCATGGAAGCAGCAGGAAGGGCAGAGGAGGGGTCATCAGGCCCCTCATACATCTACATGCAGCTTCTGAAGGCACTGGGTCAGGCTAAAGCAAGGCCAAGGGAAAGCAGGGGGTGGCAGAAAGCAGGGCAGGAGCCAGAAGACACGCAGATAGAAAGGACGGAGCGGGCTGTGGTGACTCACGGAGGTGTGACAGGAGGGACATGACAAACCATCCCTGCCACCACCTCCTCACGGCTGGGAGGAGGCACGTCAAAAGCAAGGACATCACCAAGTAGAGGAGACAGAGGAGGGAGGAGGACTCCGTAGCTGGTGTCCTTGTCCCTGCACCACCTCCAGACACCCTGAGATAGAAGCACCTCAGGTTACCTGGGCTCATGAGTGGCAGAAGCCAGTGAGTGTCATTGCTGTTCTGTTCTGAGTTCAGAACTCCCCCTTGCTTTCTATAAGCCCCAGAATCCAGGGGTTTCTAGGGCAGGATTTGTTGGGAAGTCCAAATGCAAGGCAAAGCTTCCCCAGGCCACACAGCTGCAATGGAAAGAGAGAAGTGGATCATAACCCCATGGCCATCTCCCATCTGCCTCCTCCCCTGGGTTAATAACGAGGGCAGCATTGTGGTGGGGACTCTGTCACAGCTCCAGTGACATGAACCAGTTTCCAGGCACCTATTCAAATGCAAACAATAGGCCAAACAGGTTTCTTTGAGCAGCCACCCAGGGCAGATGCCTTTGAAACCCTTCCCACAAGCTTTAGCCAAGCAAACGCAGGGGTTCAGCAAAGGAGGGAGTTTATTCCCAGCACATCCAAGCTCTGAACAGGAGACCGGGATCCAGGTTAGCATCACGTCCCCAGCCTCCAAAGTCCTCCCTACCACAGGCTGCAGGACATTGTCCACATTGCTCTTGGGGCCGGACACACAGCAAGCCCATGGAGCCCCCCAGCTCAGGCAAGCAGCCCACCTCTGATCTGGGGAGGCAGAACATGGTCCAGGGGCTCCTGCCTCCCTTTCCCCATCCCCAAAACCTCTTTGGCAGCTGCACCAGCCCCGGGAGTCACCCTGGATTCCATTGGGAGCCAGGAAGAGCAATCGCAGGCAATAAGGAGGCGTCTCTAAGAGGACACCCATTCCTCCCCCAGTGGGTGAAGGACCTGATCGGGGTGGCTGGATCCTCCTGGGAGCCAGACCTGCTGTGTGGGACAGGGCTCAGCACCTCAGAGCCTCCCTCCCTGCGTGCCTGGCGCGGGCAGGCCATGCCCACAGCCTGCAGAACAGGCTCAGCCTGGCAGCGAGCCCGGCAGGACAGGATGGAGCCTGGGGAAAGGAGCAGGCTTCAGGCACTCACCCTCACAGTGCTGTCCCCAGCAGCGCTCAGCACCTCGCCAGCCTCAGACAGAGCACCTGAGCTTAACCTGCAGGGCCAGAGGAGCTCCTCGGGTGCTGGCAAGCAGAGGAAAGGGCGGAGAGGCGAGGACCCGGGCATCAGGAAGCATTCCCCACGCAGCTGCTGCCTGCCATGGCTCTGCAGCTGGTTTAATGTAAAACAGATTGAGCCCAAGCTCCATTTCCACACCCAACAACTCCAGACAGACAGACAGTGACGGAGGGACAACCACATCCAGAGCCTGCGCTCTCCACCCCTCCTGCAAACCCAACACACCCAGAGATGCAGCTCCCCAAAGCACAGGACCTACCTTCCCTGGGCTCAGAGGGACATTATCCATCCTGGCACAGAGAACTGGGACAGGGTCTGCCCTGAGCATCGCCCCAGCTCCGGCTAGGGGGGGAACCAGCCCTTTGCAGAGCACCAGGGCTGCAGCCTCCAGCAGCAGAGGAATGAGGAGAGCTGGCAAGGCCCAGCTGCAGCTAAAGGTGGTTCCCAGGTCATTCCCCTTGCACAGGCACTGCTGATCCCCCCGTAACCTCCCAGTGCTGGGAGCAGGAGGAGCATTCCCATCGCAGCCAAGGGAAGCGGCTGGTGCTGCAGCCCAGGCAGGGTCACGCTTCGGAAACACATGAGAAGAGCAGCAATTAGCAGGTCAGAGCTGCCAAGTCGGAGCTGTCTCGCTCTGCCCCGTGCCAGTGCCCTCCCTTCAGGCTGCCTGGGATTGCTCCTCTCTGCAGGCACAGCTCATCACCTCCCAGCGCGCTGGGGATGCACCCGGATGGGACCTTGGGCAGTGAAATCCCACCCCACGGCTCCATCCCTTGCACGTGCAGCCCCGGAGCTGCTGCCAGCCCCGGTGAGCTGATGTGCCTCTGCTCCCCGTTGGCAGCCAGCGTGCTTGCTGACGTGTGCCAGCAGCGCAATGTGCCCGGCAGGCCTCATCCTGCCCGGCCATCCCACCGGGAGCTGCACGCCTTGGCCGTGGGGAGGAGCCAGGTCAGGACACTGCGCTGCTTTGGTGTCTGAGCCCCAGTTACGGAGCACTTGGGGCTGGTGGTACCCAGCACATCCCCAGCTTCCCCATGGGACCCCCGGGTGCTTCTGCACCCAGGAGAGGGTTTTCCTTCTATGGTGGAGACAGCCCCAAGGGGAATAAGCAAGACAAGAGCTCCTGGGAGCCATGCATCAGCTGCTGCCATCTCCCCACCCACTGTCCTGCCTCGGCCTTGGCTTTCCCACGCAGGAGCAGCCTTGGGAAGCGGGAGGAGGAAGCGGACCTGCCCCATGTTCCCAGCGCTTCCTCTCAGCCCTGCATGCCCCAGGGCTCTGTGCCTTGCGGGGCAGCGGGGACCAGGCTGTGTCCTGGATAAGGGCAGCAACCAGAGCTCCTGGGGCTCAGGGAGCTCTGTGTGCACCCCCATGCCCCTCCCGGCCACCACCCTGCACCCTGGGGTGCCCCCCCAGCAGCAGGAGCGCGGGGGCAGCCACTGGGATGCTCAGAGCTGGGTCCACCCTCCAAACCTTGGTGCTTTCACAGATGCCACTGGGGGGGGGGGGGGCAGCAGGATGCTCAAGCCCCCCACTTGGCCAAGGCAGACCCCAAAACCTGTGGGGCAGGAATGTTAATGGGAAGTGGGTTCTCCCAGCTGATGGGTTTGCCACACTGAGCCAGCCCTGGGAGCATGGTCCAGATATGGGGGTACCCAAGGGGTAGCTGGTGGGGCAGGGAGACCTTTGTCCGAAGGGCCACGGAGGGCACAGGTCCACCCTTGGGAAAACTGAGGCACAGCCTCCAGAGGAGGTGCATGCAGCCCACAGGGACCCTGTCCTGCCCCTTACCCCCTGCCAGGACACTGGAGTGAAGGATAAGCTGCTGGAGCAGCTGGGTGCTGGCACAGTGCTGGAGGATGGCAGCGGCAGGCTCAAACCCAGTGCCCATTGTGCTCCAGACGGAGAGTGGGGGTAAGGAACGTGCCATCCTGCACGGAATCCGGCCTCCTCCGTGCTGGGCTGCTGCCAAGATGCGGCCCAGGGGAGGATTGGGCTGGGGTTGGGATGCGACAGAGCAGGGCAGAGGGGACTGCCCTGGCTGCGGGATGCAGGAGGAAACGCGTCCTGCCTGGATGGAGGTGTGCTCATCCCACGGCTGGGGCCAAGGCGAGCTCTGGGAGCAGGCAGCAGATCCCGCAGCATTCCCAGCGCCGCTGTTGTTTGAACAATACCCCGCTGGCCTGCATGCCGGGGCTAATTTTAACCCTGGAGCCAGGCCAAACCGGCCCGAACTTTCCTCGCTGCGATGTATCCCAGCCATTTCCCTTCACAAACAAGGCCCCCGTGCCAGCCCCGCCGGCAGCAGCATGCTGCCCAGGGTCCCATCCCGACGGACAGGGCAGGATTTGCCCTTCAGTGGGTGCTTTGGGCTGCTGGGAGCCCCCCACTACCCACAGCACTTTGGGAGCTGGCTGGAATGTGGGATGCTGGCTCCCCGGGATGCTGGAGCAGCACCGTTTTCCACAGACATCTCTGGGAAGGAGGTGGGAGGGTTTTTTTCTACTGACAATTTTATTGAAAAGGCTTTGGGGCTGCGTTTTGTTTTCCCTTTTTGTTGTTTTTTTCTCCCTTTTCCCAGACAACAAAGAGGTGCCCTCGGCCTCTGTGCTTCTATTTAAAAAGTGATTGGTAAAAATGCTGCAGAAACATTTGCGAAAAATGGAAAATATTGAAAACCTCTCGTGACAAAAAGAAACAAACAAAAATCATTCTCTTCCAAATAAAGATCTTCTTCTTCTTCTGGTTTTCTTTCCATCAGAAAAGCCTGGAGTGTGCAAAATGTCGACCGCTTGGATTTCTTCTTCCCAGCAGGCTGGGATGCGCCCACCTCCCTGCTGCAGGAGGGAGGGCTGGGGAAAGCTAAAAATCACCGGAGGTACCAGCACACCCATCTCTCGTGTGACACCCCCTGCGTCCCCACCAGACCCGTGGCGGGGTGGGAGGTCCCCATGGAAGGAGGTGGCACATCCAGCCTGTGGGCGAGCCCTTCCCTGCCCACCCGGGAAGGGGGGGGAAGAAAGCCCAAAGGTATTTGGTCACTAGCGTGATGAGTTCCCGGCGGGTCTCAGCCCATCACAACCAGAGGAGGTCTGTGAGGCTGTGGGGAAGCAAGGGGAGGTGTTAGAGGTTGTCGTACATGCGCAACGTCTTCTCCAGCTGCTGGCTGACGCGCTGGTAGAAGATGATCTGCTGCTTCAGGTAGGACTGCATCATCCTCTTGAAGTCGGCCACGCGCCGCTCGTGGAAGTGGTTCATCTCGGCCTGCAGCGCGAAGCCCACCACGCGGCAGCGCTTGCGGATCCCGTCCGCCTCCTCCTGGTCCATCCGGCCCTCGTCGCTCATCCGCTGGCTCTCCTTCACCTTCGCGAAGGCGCCTGCGGGGCGGAGGACAGAGCTGAGAGGCTGATGGATCCCTGCGATCCCCCTGCCCTGCCATTCCCAGCCAGCACAGGAATAAGGGAACCTGCGTGCTCCCAGGCTGTCGTCTCCCCTTGCCCATCAATCCCCATCCCTCTCCTCAAGGAGTCTTTTCCCTCTGGATTCCAACCTCCCCAACTCCTTTTCTGCCCCATCCCAAGGCAGTCAGCCTCACATTTAACACATTTTGGGGATTCTGGGCTACCGGAGGGCTGCGACTCAAGGCTTGGGGTACAAAGCTACCATGGGGCAGTGTTATCACAGCCAAGCCCCCTGGCCAAGCCTACCCCACACATGTTTGATGTCCTCCCATGGATGGGGTTCAGGAGCAGCTTTGGGAGACCCCAGGCTGGGAGGCAGTGAACTGGGATGTGGGAAGGACATGCAGTACCGGCTGGAACTCGCTGGGAAAGCATCTCCCTCTCCCAGAGGCAGCTGATGCTCTGACACCACTTTTCCCCCCTCCTTCCATTTATTTTTACAGCTCGGTTTCGAAAGAATCCTGCCTGGCTCCGGCCCTGCATTCCTCCCCCTCATTAGCACAGAGGTTTCAGGCAAACAGAGATCCTGTTTGCCTGAAAACAGGATTTGGCCCGCAGATCTTTCCCCTCTCCCTGCCCCTCGCTGGGGGCACCAGACTCGGGGTTACAGTGCTCCGTCCGTGCCAGCCCTGCTCCCAGTGGAGAAGAGGAGGAGGAAGAAGCAAAGGTTGGAGGCCAAATCCTGCCTTCCGCTCTGCCCACACAGCCTTACTTCCGGATGGGATCCAGCCCCTCTTAACCGGCCGTGTCAACAAGGTGGGGAGGGACAGGCGAGGAGGGGACCTGCATCCTCCCCTTCCCCTTTGCCTCCCGCAGGGATGCGGAGCAATGCACGGACACGTGCGGATGCCCTGGCTTCACCCCAGGGAGAGCTCCCTGCCCCCACGATCCGGGAGGAGTGCGTGGACTTCGGCCCCTCTCCCAGTCCCAGCACACCCGCTGCTGCGTGCAAAGGGACACCCAGCCCTGCCCGCGGGCTCCCATGGAAAGGGCAAAGCAGACACGGCTCACCCCCCTCCTCCTCCCTTGTACCCCAAATACTCTGGGGACTGGTGAGGGGGCAAAGGGGACACAGGGAGCACGCAAGGTGCCTGCTCCTGGGCTCGGAGGAGCAGGGACTTACTGCTGAGTTTGACCCTGGTTGTCCCCAGGAGGTCCAGTGTGGCCAGGGGACTGCAGCAGGGCTGGAGGAAAGAAAGGACACATCCACATCCCACCAGCCCTGTGCAGCCCCCCTGGCCCAAGGCCATGTCCCAGCCCTGGAGCAGCAAACTTGGGCCTCTGCCAGGGAGGGAGAATGAGGAACAAGTGGTGGTGGATGGGGATGCTCATGAGGTCAGGGCAGGTCACCCTGGAGGCAACAGCTCCTGCTCAGGGCCTGGAGGAAACAATGCCTGCGTTGACCCCTCCAGCAGCACTTGAGGAGCCCACAGCATCACTTGGGACAAAGCCTAATGCTGGACCCAACAGCCCCAGCAGCCTCTCCCAGGCTGGGGTAAGCAGGGAGCTGAGCCAGCAGGGACCATGCTGCCTCCTTGAGAGCCACAGGCCCCCCCCCTCATTCCCACCCCTATCCTGATACCCCATTCCCATCACTCTACAGCACAGGATTTCCTCATTGCATCCTGACCCCCACTCACATGGGGCCATCGTGCAGAAGAGGTCATCAACAGGGGAGGAGTCACCCTTACCTTTCTGGAGGTGGATGATGTCTGGGAAGTTGGAGAGGAGCCCTTGGTACAAAGAGAGAGTGTCCAGCATGAGGAACAGGTCATTCTTGGGCTGCTCAGCGAACATCTCCCCCACGGTCTCATACGTCTTGCCCGTGTGGGAGATGGCATTGTTGAGGGCGTCCAAGCTGTAAGGCGGGTCCATGTGGAAGGAGTGGCTGATGGCTTGGAAGGCATTGCCCAGCTTCTGGAATTCCTTCCGGAAGCCCCCCACGTGCTTGCGCACCAGCTCCGAGGCCACGTTGGTCAACTGCAGGACGCTGTCGTCCATCTTCTTGCTGAAGGCCTTGAAGGCATCCACGCGGTCCTCCACGTCCTGCAGGTCCTGGTGCTCCGTGGGGATCTGGATGGTGAGGAGGAAGCTGGCGCCCACCATCTCGTCCTTCTCCGCCCGGCGCTTGCCCAGCTTCCACTGCTTCTCGTCGCGGCAGCAGAGGAAGTGCTGGAAGCCCTCGTACTGGGAGAGGACGGGGTGGCTGGTCATATGGTCCATCCAGAGGATGAGCCGCCGCTTGCGCTTCTCGATGAAGTCCTCCTCGAAGCGCCCGGTGGCCTGCTTCTCGGGCAGGTGGGGCACCGAGATGACCGTGAACTTGTGCAGGAGGCGGTTGTAGAGCCAGTCAAAGTGCTTGTACCGCCGGTACACGGGCGAGTTGATGTTGCTGGGGGTCAGCTTGTAGGAGATGTAGCTCTTGATGCCCTTGAACTTGGTTTGCTTGGTTGGGTCCTCCACGGAGCAGATGAAGGGGTGAGGGTTGGCCCTCCACTGGGGACCTTTGGAGCCCATCTCGATGCAGTACACCTCGGCGATCTTGGACATGAGGGGCACGTCCCCTAGGATGAAGGCTTCCACCCCCGAGCGGACGAAGCAGGAGAAGCGGTTGAGGTTCCTCCCCACCACGCTGCCTCTCTTGGAGGAGCTCATGCTGTCCTGCCGCTCCAGCGCCGGCTTGGGACGGTAACCGGCGTGCTGGTCGTGCCCATAGGCTGGCGGGTACTGCAGGCTGGGCGAGGGGTGCCCGTTGGTGCCCGGCGCGCTCTGGGGCTCCTCCACCACCGTGCACGCATCGTCCCAGTCGTCCCAGTCATCATCATCATCATCCTCAAAACTGCCCTGGTAGGGGATGCTGGGGTTGGAGGGAGCTGTGTAGAAGGATGAGTCATGCCCGGGAGAGCCGGCCGGGCTGCTGGAGTAATCCGTGTAGTTGGAGCCTGACCGGGAGCGGAGGATTTCAACGTAGGAGGCTGGGAAGAGGCCGGTCTCCCCGCGGCTGTTCTGACCCTGTAACCACCCATCCAGGGAGTTCTCGCTGAAGATGACGAGCTCCTCGTTCTCCTGGATGCTGATCTCCTCTTTGTTTTCGCTCTGGAAGTTGTAAAGCGCTCTGGCTTTCAACGCCATGGCCGGGCCCGGGGGCACACACAGCAGCCAAAACCCCCACACGCTGTGGGAATGGGAAAGGGCTCGGCCGGTTCCTCAGGGAAATAGGAAAAGCTGGAGAAGAAATCCCCTTCGAGGCGTCGCCAATGTCCGCGTGTCCAAGTGACCCCCCGATCCCGGTGCCCCGGTTAAGAACACCATTCCTCGGTCAAGCGAGCAGCATTCCCGTCGCTCCCCCGGGATGTAACCCCCGGCAGGACCCGGAGCCGAGCTCGGCCATATCCTCTCAAGTTTTAGCTCGCTGGGACGCTGATCCCGCAGTTTCACTTTCCAGGAGGAAAAAACGTTGTTGCCAGCGAGAAAACCGATCCAAAACGACTTTTCCTGGCGCTCCTGTGGGTAAAACAGCAGTCGGCGGGTGCCGCAAAGCGCCGGGAACCGACCCCAAACGCAGCCCAAGCTCCCGGTGATCCCGGCCCCGGGATTTTGCAATTCCCTTCCGGCCCGACGGCCGCGGGTGGTTGTTGCTGGGTTGTTGTTGTGGGGCTTTTCCCGCTGGAATCCGCCAGTCTTCCGCAGGACCGAGGGCACGGGCTCCCCGCAGGCCCGCGCCGGGGCCGGTACCGGGAGCGCCCGGCGGCTGCCAGCGCCGGCGGCGGAGCTGAGGGAGGAGGGATCCCGTCCCGGCCGCGCCTCCCGCCCCTCCGCGGGCCCGGCGGGACGCCCTCACCGCATGGCCGGTTCAGGGCGCCGGGGGGGGCACCGCCACTCGCTCCTACCGCTCGGGGCTCCGGTGCCACTCTCGGTACCGGCGTCCGGTTCCGGTGTGTGCGCCCGCTGCGCGCTGCCGCGGCTGCTGCCCGGGGCTGCCGGTGCCGGTGTTGGTGCCGCTGCTGGTGGCGGAGCCGGTATCGGTGCCGGCGGCGGGGCTGTCCGCCAGCCTCCCGTGACGCTGCCCGGTGCGCAGCCCTGGAGCCGCGGCAGGGCGCACGCTGCCCTCTGCAGGCAGCCGGCCCGGGGGACGCGGCTCCCGCTCGCACCAGGGCCCGGCTGGCGACACCGCCCGCTCCCGCTGCCCGCCCCGGGAGCACCGAGTCACGGAGCGGCGGGGGGGGGGGGGGGGGGCCGTCTGCCGTTAACCGGGGAGAGCGGGGCACGGAGCCTCCACGCCGCAGGAGGGCGCTGCAGGCCGCGCAGGGCGGAAGCGCGTCAGGGCGGGCGTTGCCATGGAGGAGCTGAGCGCGGCGCTGGCGGCCGGCGTGTCCCTGGCAGCGCCCAACAGCCCCGCGGGCCCGCACCCGCGCCTGGCCGCCTACAAGCCCCGCGGCGGCCCGGGGCAGGCGGAGCGCCGGCAGCGGCTCCTGCGCCTGCAGCGGCAGTGAGTGGTGTCCGCTTCCCCTTCCCCTTCGGCCCTGTTCCCGCCGGGCGCTGGGGACGCGGCCCGGGCCGCGGTGCGTCCCGCAGGGGACAACCCGAGCTGTTTCTGCCCCGTCAGGAGGCGGCTGGACTACGTGAACCATGCGAGGAGGCTGGCGGAGGATGACTGGGCAGGGGTGGAGAGCGAGGGCGAGGAGGGGGAGGATGCGGAGGAAGAGGAGATGGACGTGGATGCTGGCAAGAGGCTGCCCAAGCGCTATGCCAACCAGGTGAGGAGCTGCTCAGGGCCAGGCAGGGAGGTCAGCAGCCACTGGGGTGGCTGCGCTGGGGCTGGGCAGGATGTGTCCTGCCTGTGTGGTGCTCGGAAAGGAGCTGCCCCTCAGCTCTGTCTCTGAGACGTGCAGCGTTTAAGTGGAGGATGGACGGAGGTGGGCTGCCTGTGTGCTTAGGGAGATTCCAGCCCAAGTTTGTTATGCATCACTTGGTTCAAGAGTTCTGTCTCTCGCCATGTCTGGGACACTGGGAAGGGAAACCTCCACGGGTGGGTTTTATCAGGCTGGGTGCCATATTAGTCCTAAAAGTCTGACAGTGTCCCAGGTAACCATAGCCAGGCCATCCCTGAAGAGCTCACCTTGTGTGGGCTCTTTACTCCTCGTGTTCAGGAGTCTCTAAGCTCTACCATGTATTTAAAAGTAAATCAAGTGCTGGAGGGAAGCTGGAGTGGGGACCAAGATAAGGAGTGCCCAAGCAAGGACACTGTTGTAGTCTGAAGCTTTGTGAGCAGCTGGGGAGCAAGAGGAAAGCTTGGGGGGAGTCTGTCATGCAGGTTGGTTAGATGGAGGGAAGGAGTCAGCCTCCTAACAGGGCGATGAGCAGCACAAATTGCCTCTGGCACACTCGGTGTAGCTGCTGAAGCCAAGTCGAAATCTTGTTCCTTTCTCCTTGAGCTGTGCGTTTTCCACAGCTTCAAGACAGTTGTTACTCACTGTTGTTTGCTCCTGGATTTCTCCGCAGCTGATGCTGTCAGAGTGGTTGGTGGATGTCCCTGTGGATCTGGAGCAGGAGTGGGTTGTAGTCGTGTGTCCCGTTGGGAAAAGGGCGCTGGTTGTGGCATCCAGGGTAAGCAGCAGCCATGGTGATGCTGGTAAAGCACCTGCACCTGTTTCCCAGCCAACATAGACTGGCCTGTGTGTCTGGCTTGACTTGATCTTTCTCCTCTCCTACTTCCTCACAGGGCTCGACAGCAGCTTACACCAAGAGCGGCTTCTGTGTCAACAGGTTCCCATCCCTGCTGCCAGGGGGGAACCGGCACAATTCCATGGGCGAGAAAGGTAACGGTGTGAGGAGGCATTTGGGATAGAGAGAGTTCCCTGCCTCTCCTGTGAGTGTGTGCATGGCAGGCTCAGTGCTGTTGCTCCAACTTCCCTGAGCTGTGCCTTTGTGTGCTCCTTACGGCTTCAGGCCTCTTCCTGTACCTCTGGGGATAACTAAGCGTGGGCAGTATCCAATACCTTTATGCTAGATAAGAACAGCTTCTAATTAGCTGCCTGGTTTACTGCTACTCTTAAACCTCAACATCCTCTCTGTCTTCCCAAAGAGAGCTGTGTGTAGTGTGGTTTATTTAATACCTTTTGTAGCTTCTTGCTTGCCCTGAGGAGAGGTTACTCTTTGATAAATGTCATTTGCCTGGAACGCGCCTTTGCTTGCTGTGCCCCTGGCTGGTACCTCTGTAGCCTTGTTGGATTCCTCAAGCTAAAGGCTTTTTGTGGTCACAGCGTGTGTTAGCAGAAGGGGATCCCTCTGCACCTCACAGCCTTACATCAGGGTAGGCTTAATGCAGCAGCTATTTGCTCTGGCGTTTGCCTGTTGGGTTGGGCAGTCCCTGGAGCATGTCTGGACCTCCCTGCGTTTGTACGTGCAGTGTACTGCATCTTGGACTGCATCTACAGCGAGGCAAAGCAGACTTACTATATCCTCGACGTGATGTGCTGGAGAGGACACCCTGTTTATGACTGCCAGGTACTGAATCCCCCTCCTCTGCCCTGCCCTCCTTTTTGTTCCCTGTTCCATGAGCTGCTTTGCAGCCAGTGCTGAGCACTGCCCACTACGCCACAGGATGAATATTTTATCTAAGCACCACCATCATCTTTACAGGTTGTGCTGGCTACTGGAATAGTGGGTGCCTCTTTTGTGGGTACTGGGGGACATAGCAGATTTGGGGTGCTGGCTGGTTCTGCAGTGAAGCTGAGTCTGTGCAAAGGGATGGAGATGCTCAGCAGGGGCTCATCGGTGATGTGTAGTGGATAGTCATTATGTCTGCTTCCTTTCACAGACTGACTTCAGATTTTTCTGGCTTTCCTCAAAGATCCAAGAGGAGGAAGGGCTGGGAGAGAAAAGCAGGATTAATCCTGTAAGTTCTTTTGTACTCAGGGGAGGAGGACGAGGGGGGTAAGCTCTCCTGTTCAGCAGGCTTCAGTGCTTTCTTTCACAAGCGGAAGCTGGTTTTGTTCACCCCTTACAGATCAGGCTTCAAAGTGTACTTCTGATGAAATGGGATGCCACGTTCAGGATGTAAATAGAACCACTGAATATTGTAAATGAGTGTGGTTTTATGTTCCTCAGCCAAAGTGCTGAGGGAGATCAGAAAGCAGGGTATCAGCTAACTTCCATGCTGCATTTAGCTTTCCCTTGAAATGCAATGGAAAACCAGTGTGGTTTCTACAGGGGCAGTGCTGGTCGGCAGCCTGGCTGGGATGGGATTTATTCTTGCATAGTCTTGTGGGCTCACAAGGCAAGGGGAAAGGCTTGTAAAGCTTTAACCTTCCCTCCTGTTTAAGCTCACTGCCGAAGGTGTCGTTTGGATGCTAGATTGTCACCTGGAGTCCCTCCTGAGTGAGAATAAAGTCTTCTCTTGAAGACTTAAATATGGACATCAGACCTAGAGCCCACAGCAGCTTGGAAAGGGATTTTTGAGGACAGACAGAAGAGATCTGGCAGCCTGGTTTATGGGACATGGTTTGCAAAATGGGACCTGGTGGCTCTGCAGCTCCTGTGCGTGCTCAGCCACAGCGAAGCAGAGCAGCTCCTGAGGGCTGGGCACATACAGATACCATCCTGTGCCAGCAGCAGTGGTATCTGTATGTGGAGAACATCCTGTTCTGACTCCGATGGGAATATCCACAAGACCAGCTACCTAATGAAGGGGGGTTGTTTCAGCTTTCATTTCCTGGGTGGAAAGAGTTGCTTGGCTGAGCCAGCAGCTTGGAGCAGACGTCTGTCTGCTTTGCATCCTGCCCAGAGGTCATCATTTTCTATTTCGGTTAGAAGAGCATCTCAGGGTCAGCTCTCCTGAGAAGTCCTTCCTGCAGTCTTAAAATGCTTGGAAAAAAAGGTATGGGGAGCATGTGGGAGCTGTGCACTGAGGCTCTGCCATCCACATCTCATCTCCCACGGGAGGGAGTCATGGAACTGGGATGGTAAAATACCTGAAATAAATCATTCTGGGCACTGTAGATTTCATGCTCTCTGGGCATTGTGGGTCTTCTTTTAAAGGTCACCTTCTGTTTTGGGAATGAGGCTTGTGAAATTGCAGCCAGGTACAAGCTTTATCCAGCACTGATGGAGAGATGGTGGGGGTTACTGCCAACAGCAATTCCACCCCATGCTCTCTGGTGGCAAGGGTGATTTTTGTAGGTGTTCAAGCACTCCCAGTGTGTCCAGTGTTCTATGCTTGGCACCAAAGCACTGCTTGGTCCTGTTTTGCCTCTAGATCTGGGGTTTGCTCTTCTGAATCCCATCAAGAGGTCTGTCCCAATAACCCCTAGTAGTCACAAAGATCAGTTGCTGAGGGAAGAGTAAGATATTGGAGATACCCATCATGTTTCCCTCCGACTTCATCAGCCAGTGGTTATACCTAGATCATGGAGTTAATAGCCACCAGTGGACCTGCCTTTCAGGAGCTGGTCTGATCCTTTTTCGAGCTTACTTATGCTGTTAGGCCTCTGATACCCTGTGGGAGGAAAGCCAGAGTTTAATGACGTGGTCCCTGCTTGAGGTCTCCTCTCCAGTTACTTCCCTTCACTCTCTCCCTCTCACACTAGAGCAAATCCTTCCTCCCTGCCTCCACATTGGTGCTGGATTCAGTGACCTGTTCTGCTTTAGGCCTTACAGTTGTCTCTCTTTTAACCCTCTTTTACTCTTTCAGTTCAAATTTGTGGGCCTGCAGAACTTCTCCTGCTCCGCGGACAGCCTGTGTAAGGTGCTGGCTATGGACTTCCCCTTCGAGGTGAGAACATGGTAGGGGACTGGACCTCAGCCTTAGAGTCACCCCACTGCCAGTGCTTGGAGAGGCACGTCCCCTTTGTTCAGGAGCTCTGAGCTGTGCTGCTGTTTCCCTCTGTAGGGGATGGATGCCTTTCATGCACGTGGCTGATCTCTTGCCCTCTCACCAGGTACAGGCTGCATCCAACCAAACTAATTACAAGAGTTAAACCGTGTGCATTAGCACTCCCTCTCTTTGGGCAGCCTTAGTTTGCTGCTATTGACAACCTGGCAGAGCCTTTGGGGAAGGCAGGGTAGGTGCAGACATGCAGACTGCCTCCAGAAGCAGCACAGCTCACATTCATGCAGCAGTGTGATGGACAGCCGACCTTTCCAGGGCCAGAGCTGGTCCTGCCTGCTGCCCTGGGTGAGCTAACGTGGGTACAGGCATGAGGATCTCTGCCATGTGCTGCCTTATGCAGTTGTGTTTCTCCAGGGGTCTGCAGGGTGGGCAGAGTGGTGTCTTTCTCTGCCCTCAGCCACGGGCTCTGTGTTTTCTTAGTGTAGCTACTTCCATCTGTCTGTGTGTGAGGCACTCAGCTACCTTGCGTCTTGTGGGGAGGAAGGGGAAGGATGCTGGGAAGCTCCTGATGGTTTTTGAGGGGTTTGGGTGTTAGCAATGGGCACGTGAAACATACTGGGGCTGGGGGCAGGTAACTGCAACAGAGATGGGTGGGAGGGGTTCAGGTGAGTCTGTCCTGCTCTTACTACCATAGGATCTTGTGGATGGGATAGCACAAGCTCTGCTCTTTGCTTTAGGACAGAGCTGGCAGCCTCCTGCCTTTGGCTCTTGCAGCTCTTGGCTCTCCTCAGGAGCCATTCTCCCAGGAAGAGCAGCTGAACTGGGCACCTGCCTTTGCTGCTTCAGCTTTAGGAATAGGTGCTGGTGCGCTGTTCTGCTGACCTGTGGGAGAAGAGCAGGACAGGCAAACCCACGTGCCACCCATGTTTGTGAGCAGCAAGAGAGGTTCTCGTGAAAGCAGCTCGGTCTGATTTAAACCAGCCTGCCTGACCTGGCACTGCAGCGGAAGAGGATGGAGGCAATGGCATTCCAGCAGTGTCAGTGACAAACATCTGGGAGCCAGAAGCTCCTCCAGTGGCTGCAGCAGTTCCTGCAGAGTGCCTGGTTTAGCCCTAGGATCAGGAACAGCCTCTACAGGGGCTACTTGTCCACTAAACCGAAAGCCACGTGAGGACTGATTTGGCCTTCTGCATGTCAAAGCCAGGACAGTCACTAGAGAGGGGTGGAAAGTCCCATCCCAGGTTTCCTATAGCTGACTCACTCAATGCCAAATGCTTTGAGTGCCTCTGTAGAAACAGCCATTCCTGTATTTACTGCAGAAAGCTTCATTCCTTCCTGAGGCATCTGCTCCCGGGAGGAAAGGCTGGGGAGAATTGCCCCACTGTGGTCAGAGCAGAGAGCTTGCAGCCTGTGAAGGAGTCCATTGCAAAAGGCATGGGGAGGGAGGTGGAGCTGAGCAGTCTCCTTTGTGATTCAGCTGTGATTTCCCTCCCAGGTCCTCTCAGGCCAATACATGCGACCCCAATAAGTGCAGTTTGGCTCAAATCAGATGGTAACATCCAAAAACCCCATGATGCCCCTTCCAGGAATGAAGAGAACCTTGGATCCCTTCATGAACCGTGGGTCCCTTCATGGTGGCCCACAAGAGGGAGCCCAAGAAATCCCTGTAAATAGCTTCCACCCCCAGCACACAACGCAGTAAACTTTGCAGAGGACAGAATGCAGCCTTGCTATAGATAGTACAGCATAACAGAGGTCTTATGCCTGGCCCCAGCATTTGGGATCCTCGCAAGGCTCTAGTGCATGTGGTGGTGACAGAGGGGGTCAGTGCTTTCAGATCCGGGTCTTCAGGGTTAATCTGTAACCTCCAGTTAGGAGCAGAGCTGGTGTATTCAGCAGAAGTATCTTCCACTGAATCCAATGGACTTTGGCTCAGGTGCCCGGCACTGGGTTTGCAGTGGGTTTTGGAGTGGATCTGAGGAGCTGTTGTGCTCCTCGCACATCTGAGGAGTAAAAGAAGGCAGGGGGGAGCCCTGTGGAGCACCTAAACTCTGCAAAGCACCATTTGCAGTAGCCTTGAAGGGTGCAACTCTGCCAGGGCAGCTCCTCAGCCAGGTCTCAGAGGCAAACCTGAGGACTTTGAGGTTCAGGGATGTGTCAGCCCTTACTCTGCTGTGGCTGGTGTCAGTGCAGTGACTCACGGGAGGGACCCAGCCAATGCATCCAACAAACGGGAAGGAATAGGGAGGAACTGAAGAGAAGTCAGGGAGAGGAAGAACATCCTAATTCCACCAGGCTGAGCTGCTTGGAATTCTTCCGCTTGGGGGAGATCTTTGGAGCTGTCGGGAAGGCAAAAGCCTTTCCAGGCTCTGAACTTTACCAAAACATTCCTGTGGGTGCTGGAGAATCCCCGTTGCTCATCAAGTGCCTGCACCCACAGGAATGGGCTGGATGTGCAGGCGTGGTGCCACAGACTGGGGCTCTTCCCAAGTCTTCCCAGGAGGCAGGGGAGGGAAACGCCTTGTATTTTAGGTGTATATTCCAGGAGTTACTGCTTGGGGAAGGGCCTGGGAGCAATTCAGCCTGAGGTGGGCTCTTTTTCACGTCTCTTCTGCCCACTCAACCACTCTCAGTTATGGCCAAATGGCCTTTTAAGAGCTAAGAGGAGCAGCACCTCCAGCCTTAGTCAGCCTGACGGCAGGATCCAGCCTCACCGAGCACACCCCTGGGAAGCACAGGAAGAGGGGAAATGCAGATCCCTGAGCATAGTGGGGTAAGCTCAGCCAGCTGCAGGGTTGCAGAGTGAGGAAATAGCAGCACAAGAGTTAGGGCCTAAACCTTCAAAGGTCCTGAGTGCCCTTAACTGTCATTGATTGCTGGAGAAGTTCCCTCTTGGGATGCATTAGGAATTCATTGTGCCTAAGGCAGCTGGAGGAGGCAGCAGTTACGCTCCTCGGCGTCACCAGCTCTGACTAATTACTCTCCAAATGTATTATTTAAAATACCCTTAATCCAGTAAAGTGGCCTCTCTGTGCATTGCCTTATTCAGAAACCCCATGGCTTTCCTGCAGGATGGGCTCCCAGCAGCCAGAGGAAAGCGCTGGTTATGCTGCAGTCTGCAGGCTTGGAGGAAGTCAAGCCATGAAATCCTCTGATCCTGCAGGTTTCTCCTTTCCCTTCCCCTCTTTATTGCACTGCTCGAGGAAAAACGATCCAGCTGGGAGGTTTGGCCTACGGATGGAGCTTGGGGCCGTCGTCTGGCAGCCTGGCATCCACCTGCAGAGCCTCCAGCTCTGTTCATTCACTCCCTGTCTCTTTATACAGGTTGACGGGCTCCTCTTCTACCACAAGCAAACCCACTACACCCCCGGCAGCACCCCGCTGGTGGGCTGGCTCCGGCCCTACATGGTACCTGAAATCCTGGGGCTGGCCGTGCCCGCCACCGTGCTCACTGCCAAACCAGACTACGCTGCGCGGCAGCTCCAGCAGATCATTGAGAGCAAGAAGAGCAAAAAGCTGGCAGCAGCAAAGGGGGACCCGAGCAGCACAGCGGCCACGAACGGGCACTACGAGCTGGAACATTTGTCTACCCCTCAGCCAGGAAACTCTCCCAAGGGCTGGGATAGAGCAGGGAGCCACATGGAGAATTAGGCTGCTGGGACAGAGAGGTTGGGTAAGAGAAAGGTAAAGGTTCCCTGCTTCTCACTGTCCCTCACACTCCCTGAGAAGGGGGCAAAGGTAATCAAGATAGGATGCGTTTAAAGGGCACGAAGGCAGAATGTCTGCTGCAAGTGCCTCTGGGTTATGATGATGTTGGGTTTTTGTTAGTTTTCTTTTTTGCCAGGGCTTTTGTGAAGCCTCAACGGGACTGCCCGGTTCTTTGCTAAGGTGGTCGTGCGTCGGGAAATGAAACGATCCATCCCCACGCTGCAGGGCTCCCGCTTCAGCTCCTGACCCTGCTGCTGTTAAAGTCCCTGGCAAAGCTCCAGCATAGGAACAGTGCTCAGACCTCCGAGGTGCAGCTGCTGCTTGTAGCAGCTCCACCTCCCCAGCCCCGGAAATCAGCCTTTGATCCAGCTCTTTCCCCAGCCCTTCTCAATGCAAGTGTTGTGGTCAGTCCCCTTCTGGGAACCCAAAGTTTACAACAGGCTGCTGTAAATCCAAAGGCTGGGCTTTCCACACCCCACCTCACAGAGAAAACCCCAATTCCCTTGTATCCCTTGCCTCCAGGCACAGCTTTGTGCAGCACGAGCATGGCAGGAGCCTGTCCTCGAGGCTTTCCTCAGTAGGGGGAGGAAGGAATGGTTTTGCTCTGAAAAACGCCAGCATTGATCGTGCCAAATAAAAGGTTTCTCAGAAAGACAAATTCTTGAGCGTCTTCCTGCTACCTAAGGGTGGCTGCGTGCTGTGCCTCCAAATAGGGCTGAGAAACTGCTCACAGCACTCACTGGAGCAGAGGAAATGCTCCTGTGGGTTCCATTCTCCACCGTCCCTCTTGGCTCGGGCCAAGCCCACTTTGCGAGCACCAGCTGCTGCCTCTCCCTAGTTTTAGCAGGGAGGAAAAAATCGTCCTCCATATCCACAGGTTGTTTTCCAGAGGGAGCTGCAAACCCTCTTGCTATGGAGTGAAACACCAAGCTAAACACAGCCCTCTCATCCATGAAACTGCCCCGGAGGAGGGCCTGCATCCAGGCAGAGATAGGGCGCGTGGGGCTGGCTGCCTGCAGATAGCGGGGGCACTTGTATCCTGCCCTCCCACCCCTGGCTTTCCCAGAAAAAGGCTTGTTCCCGTGCCAAGCGTGTGGGCTGCCTGCGCGCTGACCGTGCAGCCGCTATTGATTAGACCAGCGGGCAGCAGGAACTGGCCTCACTCCCCCTGCTCCGGCGGGGAGGAAGCAGCCCCTCAGCTCTGCAGCGTGCGGATGCGGCCGAGCGTGCTGCAGGCTCTGAACGGCTGCTTATTTGATGAAGGTTTAGTGTGATTTAATAAAGCCGCTGGCCTGGGAGGACAAACATCTGGGCTGCCTTGTCCTCCCCAGGCTGCTGGTTCCCCCCATCCTTTGGCTGGCAGGGAGAGCCCTGGATGCCGGGAGCCCGCATCCAGCCTCCTGGCAGCAGAGTTTTCCTTCCATTCAGGCAATTAAAGCCGGAGGTGGGCATCTGGATGTCAGCTCTGCGCATCCCTCAGGGCAAGAGAAAGCTGCAGCTCCGGTTACCGCTGCCCTGCAGCAACTGTTCAAGGTCCTGCAACCTCCGGAATGGAGTGGGAAGGGGAGAGAACCCAGCTGAAGAGGGGGGGCTGACTTCTGCTGCATGCTCTGATGGATGGAGGGGAGCAAGAGCGAAGCAACCGGAGCTTCCCGCCGGCTCCAGATGATGCTGCATAGTTTCCCTTTTAAAAGCAGGAGCTGGGGCTGGAGAAATAAATATTTGCCTTATAATTCCTGTTGGAAACGCCAGGCTGTGTTTGGAGAGAGGGTGTTAAACGGAAGTCACCGGGCCCGGCGCCGGTTGTTGCTGTGACTGTTCTATGTGCTGGGCGCGATCCCGCTCCCAGCTGCTCCCTGCCCGGCTCCCAACGGGAAGGGGCAGCAGCTTCAGCAGGAACAGACGTGGGGTCACCCCCCCGAGGGCTTTAACTGCGGCTGTGTTGCCACCACAGTCCTCCTCGGGTGAACAACGTCCCCTGATCCCAGGGCCTGGGCTTTGGTGGGGCGCAGGACCCTGCTCCTTCCCCGCAGACCCTCAGCACTCCCCACCCCGGCATCTGTGCCCAGCCGGGGAGCGCAGTTTCGGGATCGCAGGGGAGGGAAGAGTGAGGAAACAGCTGGAAATCCCGGCCGCGGCCCGTCCTGCGCCGGGGGAGCGCTGCGAGCATCCAGCGCTGGCAAGGGAGGACGCTGCTGCCGGGAAGGGCAGGAGGGAGAGGCGAGGCTGTGGGTGCCCCGGGGGGCCGGAGCCCCGGCCCGGGGTCACGCTCACACAGAACAGCGCGCACCCAGGGCTGAAGGGATGGCCGTGGGGCCCCGCGGAGGGCAGAGCCGCCGCTCCACGGGCTGCGGAGGATGGCTGCCGGAGCCACCCGCCACCATCTTAGCGGCTGCAGCTGACGCTGGGGGTGCCGGGGAACGCGGTGCCCCCCCCACCCCGGGCAGAGCCGAACCGAGCCCGGGCAGGGCCATGGCGGAGGTGCCGGCCCCCAGCTCCCCGCCGGGAACGGCTTCCGGGCCCCCGCCTCCTCCCGCCGGGGCCGGGCTGAGGGAGGAGGAGGAGGAAGAGGAGGAGAGGAGGGGGCTGTGGGCGCTTCCTGCCGCCGCCCCCACCGGGGCAGAGCGGAGCGGGAGCTGAGCCCGGCCCGGCCCAGCCGAGCGGCGCTTCCCTGGGGCCAGCGGAACTTCCCGGGGGGCCGCGGACAGCGCCGTTTGTTACCGGTGTCTCGGGGCTCAGCTCGGATCTTGGGGCACTTTCGGTGGGGACCCCGGGGCGGAGCCGCCCTCGCCCAGCCTGCGGTGGCCGGGAGGGGCCGGTGCCAGCAGCGCCGCCGGTCCCCGGGGATGGGCTCCGCCGGGGCGCCCGCCGCTTAGCCCGGCTCTGCTCGGCACGGCCCGGCCCGGCCCGGCCCGGGGCACAGCGGGGCCGCGCAGCATGGCCGCGGAGCTCAGCGCCGAGGAGGAGCAGGTAGGTCCCCGCCGGGCTGGGGCTCGGGCCCGGGCCGGGCAGGACCCCGTGCGCTGCTCCCGTGCCCGGTGTTTTTTTCCCAGTGGGGCGGTTCTCCCTAAGGAAAACCCCATCTACAAAGCCCCCACCCCTCTCCGGACATCCCCGCACAGCACCCCCAGTCGCTCAGGGCTCCCCTCACACCCAAAGGCCTGCGCAGGGCCCTTGCCGGGGCACGCAGGGCGCTGGGGTCCCGCACCCCCGGTAGCGGGGAGCCCCCCCCCGCCGGTGGGGCCGGGGGGCAGCCTGGAGCGGGGCTGCGTGTGCACGCGCTTCCCACGCCCCAGGCCTCCCGTGACGTCCCGGCTTCCTCCGCCGGCCCTTGCGTCACCGCGGGAGGATGTTGCTCGGCTCCACGGAGCCAAGCGGGGAGCATGGGATGGAGACGGCAGCGCCCGGCTCCCCCCCTCCTCTGTGTGCCCCCATCACCAGCGGTGCCCACTGTGAGCTCTGCACCCGCACCCCGAGCCCGCTGGACCGGGATGCGGAGGCTTCCCCGAAGCCAGGCTCCCCTCAGGTGGTCGCATCAGCCACCTTGAGGCTGCAGTGCAAAGGGGAAAGGGACCAGGTGGTCGCTTTTGGGTTGGGTTGGTTGCTTTTCTCCTTTAAAACATCCATCTTGTCCATAGGGGGGTTCCCCAAACCCCCATTGCCCCCCTCAGCCACAGCTGGATGAGTCCATCCTGCAGCCCATGCTTGGGAAACGCAGCACTCCCAGGCTTTCTCCTCCACCACACCTCCCTCTTATCAGCACCGCTCCCAGAGCCTACCTCCAGGGTAATCGAACCTGCAGGAGGTGGGGGTGTTTGTGCCCCGTGTCCCTGGGGGTGCCCTTGATTTGTGTTCTGCATTGCAGAGAGGGCAAAGCTTCCAGCAGACATGGCTCTGGAAGCCCCTGCTGTGGCAGGGAGGATCGGTTTGGTTTGGTTTGCATTGAGAGCTGGTGTCCGGAGTGTTTGGTTTGTGTAGGAATAGTGGATGAAGAAGATGAAGGGGTATTTGCAATAAGGGCTCCAGGTCTGGATCATCAGGCTGGGGTGGGGGAAGGCTGCCCCTGGTGCTGGCCTCTGTGTCTTGGAAGCTAAAATAGTGTCAGTTTCTTTCTTGTCATGGGTAAGTGCTGGCTGGGGATGGGCCATCCCCTTCCTGCCACCTTCTTGTCGTCCTTGGGATCATGGGGATTTCCTCTGCTTGCTCCATTCTCCCCCATTACCAACAGCAAGCCTGGGGTGAATTCACCACTCTCCTCTCCCTGCCAGCCTTGGGTTGTGTCCTGCTCTATAGGATCTCCGCAGTTCCCAGCCTATCCCAGAGGGACCAAGCGGGTGTTCCTCGGGGGGTTTTAGCCCATCTGCCATGTTACAGGAGTTATTCCTCCCCCGGTACTGAAGGAGGAGGGTGGGTTTGAAGAGCCCCATGTTCCATAGCAGTGGCTTTGTCACCACCCTGCCCTGGCGCAGCGGGGACGCGGATGACGCCAGCGCTCCATAGAGCAGCATTGTTCAAAGCGCCCGGCCGCGGGCCGTGTCACCCCTGCTTCCTGCTGCCACCCCCGAGCCAGACCCTGTGCTCGGCTCCACACCTCTCAGAATCCATATGGGATGGGGACACAAACGATGGTGGGAGCCAGTGGAGCTGGTGTTGGTGCTCGGCTGGCTAACGCTCGCCTGCTGTTGAGTGTCGGCACTGGTAAGCTCGGGATGTTGTTTTGTTCCTGGAGAAAGCTGGAATTCATGGCTGCCAAACCAGCGCTTGTTTTTGCGGAGCTCCCTCCTTGCAAACAACCCGACATCCCTTGAATTGGATACTGGAAGTGGGATTGCGTGCAGCGTGGTGGGTTGGATGCTGAGGAAGGAGACACTGAATCACACAGCGCATCCTCTTGCCGCTGCCACTGAGCCCCTCGGGGCATCCTTCCCATCATCTCAGGGTGTCTTTCCCATCTCCAGCTGTGGTGTTGGCTCTGGTGTTGGTCTGAGGGCAGAGGGAATGTGCCTGGCATCCCTGTGCCATGCTGGGGAGGGAGGATCTCTGCTGTTGGTTTGGGTTTGCATCTGTAGC